GTCAGTCAGTCAGTCAGTCAGTCAGTCAGTCAGTCAGTCAGTCAGTCTTCTATTCTGTTTTTAGCAACAGTCCATAATTCCATCCAACCATCAGTCTATCCATTTGTCCATCCATCTGTCTGTCAGTGCTGTGGATCCCATCTTCATGGTGTTTTTGTTGCATTGTGTTGAACATTAACATGTGCATGTTGTAGTCAGTGTGGGTTGTGTTCCATGGTTGTGGGGCTTTTAGTTTTGGTGCATTTTGCTAATTTTTTTCCATATTAAATCATCATTTCTGTTCACCTAACCCTTTTTTACATGTTAAATATGGTAAGTACAGTTTATAATTATTTAATTTATTTCTATTATTCTGGTAAATTTACTGACAGACTTTTTGAAGACATTTTCTCCATGATGAGTAGAAATCTGAGATCCCTGTCCTAGGGATGCCGACGTGTATTTACGTTTTTGCCCACAGAGGCTTTTTGCCGTTGAATTGGGTTACATTACGCTCTGGTTTGAGCTTCTTTCTGCTCTGGAAATAACTTGAGATGCCAGTCTGCAACCGAACACCACCTGAGGGCCCCCATCATCCCCTAAAGACCACATTCACCCAGACGTAGCAGCCACTCCCTCATCCTGTATGAAAGGCCTCCACAGTCCAGTACCAGTACCAGTACCTACCACATGATTGTATTCGATTTGAAGCTCCTGGGGCCAAAGTTTCATTTACTAATAAGGCTTTTTAAGGTCGGTAATTAAAAGCATTACTTTTTCATTCATCCTTTATTTAGACAGGTAAATCCCATTGAGCCTCGAGGACTCATTTACAAGAGAGACCTGATTTCAACAAAGAATGATGACAACAATGGACAACAGCGACAACAATAAACGGTTATAAAAAGTCATACAATTTTTTTTTTTTTTAAACAAATAGGATGGCTAAAAAAAAGAAAAGAAAAGTAACAAAAACAGCTAGATTCTAAGGCGAATGTAGAAAACTAAAAACAGGAACATGTCTGCATTGGTCCCTGCCAGGAGTCCAACAGATTCTTAAAGCCACTTAGAGAGGTCAAGGTCGAGAGCTTCAGATCTTTTTGTAAGATATTCCAAGAAACAGGAGTTTTTGCCTAGTTCAGTTCGCACTGAGGGAACACTGCAGATAATGTCCTGAGAGTGCATGTTGTAGCTGCACTCACACAGACATATGAAGGAGGAGATGTATGAAGGCAGCAGACCAAGAAGTGATTTAAAGATGAAAATGTACCAGTGAGAGAGTCTGCGTGAAGTTAATGATGTCCAGTTAACCAGTGAATACAG